AAACACACACACACACACACACACACACACACACACACACACACACACACACACACACACACACACTATTCAACTCTCTCAAACAAGAAATTTTCCAATCCACAGCACTTAAGCACTTAAAAATACTGCTTCTTACCAAAAACTTCTGCAAGGGCTATCTTGAATTTATTTCTTTGGAATGGCTTTGACCAAGATTGCCAATCCACGATTGCATTTGTAGAGAAGAGGCTACCTGTTGCAGCTCTGACAAATATCCCATAGTCTGATTGCAATTTGTTATTCTTTTTTGTGGTTGCTGGGTTTTTTTTGGGGTTTTTTTGTTTTGTTTTTTTGTTTTTTTTGGTTTTTTTTTTTTTTTGAGACAGGGTTTCTCTGTGTAGTTTTGCGCCTTTCCTGGAACTCGCTTTGTAGACCAGGCTGGCCTCGAACTCACAGAGATCCGCCTGCCTCTGCCTCCCGAGTGCTGGGATTAAAGGCATGCTAATTTGACTACAACCTAGGCAAGGAGAAAATTCCTCAAGAGTTCTACCTGAAGATAACTGAGTTTCAGTCACTGAGCTTTTGTTCAGTGCACAAACACAGACCTTGGTGCTACCCTTCTTTCCTTATCTCTCCTGTCCACAATAAATAGTATCCTGTCACTTAACAAATACACTTGCAGACAAAAATCTGCTCATGTGGATAAAGAATTGATCTTAGGCTGTTTCTCTTTCTTATGCATCTTGAAAATATATAATTTTTTGTCATAAACTTTATACATTTGGCTTCCAGCCAGGTCCAAACAAGTCTTTGGGTCTTTGACCAGTCAAAAGCTGTATTTTCCATAGTAGATCAATCAGAATATTGAGATGCTATGAGAGGATGTGGATTTAAAGAGGGTTGCTTTGGTCCTGCAGCTCAAATTCCAAATAGATGTTCTAAAATTAATTTCCTTGATTCTGCTTTCTTTTCATATCACATAAATCTTTTGCCCTTCATTAAAATTGATATCCTAAAGTTGAACTCATGGACAAGGCTGGTGTCTCTTTTAATAATAAATATACAGTTGCTAATGGTAGAATTTCAGAATTCAAGAGCCAATTGGGAAAGATAATCCTATTAGTGAATCTTTCCCTGAAATCACCTCCTTTGTCACACTGATGTCAGAGGGTGCTGTTATTTAGAGACACTCCTTACATTCTCACCTAATAGTGGGCTTTAAGCTAAATTTAACCAGTTTTTCTGAGAATTCCTCTTGTAGAATCTTTCAGATAAATTAATTGATAAGAAACAAAGCATCCCTTCTTACTTGCAGGAATCATGGAGTGACTTTGAAGCCACTGCCAGATGTCACTGGACTGAAGACACTGTGTCCCTTGAAAATGTTTTACTATTTCATGGCCTTTGTATAAGTTCATGGCACTGCCATAGGGCATCTTAGTTCACAGTTTGGGAACCATAGCTACATAGCTTTTCAGCCATCTATCTACAGATACTTGCTCCTAGACATGCTTTGAGATGATACTCTATACAAAAATCTTATAGGCTGTTTAAAAATCCTCACTGATGAAGTATACATTTTTCATGTCATTAAATAGTCTCATATACTACTATGATATTGCATTACATCCTATAGGATAGGATATAATGTATATCAAAATTTATTAAGTAAGGTCCTTTTTGGATACTTGAAATATATATATATATATATATATATATATAAATTATATTTTCCTATTAAAAATGTGATTTGATGAACATATTAATGAATAAATCTTTACATAGACTGATCTATTACCTTAGAGCTAATTCTCAGATGTGGAATTGCTGGGTGAAAGTGCATGAATATTTAGAGTTTTCCTTATCCTCTGGAAAGGGTGTAGTGATTTATATTTTCTCTAATTTTATAAGGTTATATATATTACAGGCCTTTCATTTAACGATAAGAGTGACTATGAATATAGATTCAGATACTCAAATATTTTAGGCACTGTGCTAGGGACTTGTATAAACATAATTTAACCTTATTTATATAGTATCACATGAAATATACCTAATGACTTGCAAAATTGAAATGATTAGCCCTATCTTAGAGACAAAGAAATTGGAATTTAATTATAAAAAAAAAACAGAAAGAAACCAGAATTCAGAAAGATACAACAACCTTTTCCAAATCACCCAACCAAAAAATTAGACAGCTGGGGTTTAAACTTGCAATCTTGTCATTATATGACAGACTCACCAAGTACTTGAATGACAAACTATCATCATCTTTATCGTCGTCATCATCATCATCGGGCCTAATATTTATGGAGTGCTTTGTAGCACGAATCTTAAAAGGTCTTATTAATGAAAATAAACCTGGAGCATGGTATTGGGGTGAATGCTAGAAGATCAGAGAAGCAGAACAAGCCACAGCTACCTCACCTTGCCAATTCCTCAGCTGATCCTGTTTCCTTAGACTGGAAGCCTCTGAGTCCTCATCCAGAATGACTCTCAATTGAACTGTTGCTCAAAAGCCTAAAAGCTTAACCAGCCACTAGTTATTGGTCCTCATGCCTTATATATCTTTCTGCTTCTTGCCATCACTTCCTGGGATTAAAGGCATGAGTCACCATGCCTGGCTGTTTCCAGTGTGGCCTTGAACTCACTGAGATCCAGACAGATCTCTGCATTTGGAATGCTAGGATTAAAGGTGTGTATGACACCATTTTCTGGCCTCTATGTCTATCTAGTGGCTGTTCTGTTCTCTGACCCCAGATAAGTTTATTAGGGTATACAATATTTTGGGGAACACAATATCACCACAGTGCTTACCATGCATTAAGCACTATTCACAAACACATTCAACTTTTAGTGCCAAACCTATATGGTACTATTTATTCTTATGTCTAAGACAATGACTGAAAGGATATACTGGTCTAGAATTGCACAGTTTATATGATAGAATTAGTATTCAAGTTGAGGCAGTTTGGCTTCAAAGGCATGCCAGTGTTGACCAGAACGTATTATAGTGTCCCACAGAGTAGTGGAAACCTATACTCGGGACTTATGAATATTTTTTTTAAAGAAGGAAAATGGCTTAACTAAGTCTTATAGATTAAAAAAGGAGAGCTACTCTGTGATAAAATATAGATATACTAGTTCTCTAAGAAAATGTGTATCCAGGGTTTTGTCTACAAAGTTCCTATCCTTATTCCTGTAACCTTTACTCTTTAAGCAACATATGGCCTTTTAAGCTGAATACATAGAGCCAAGTGTGTGAGGTATAACTTGAATGGAAAATCTTCTAATGACCCAAACTCAATTGAAAACAAAATTCCCCCAAGTGACTTGGAAATGTCAAGATTTGAGAAATTCAAGATAGGCAAACTTCCAGAGGTTTACCAAAGTATAATCTAGAAACCTCTTATTGCTATCTTTTGGGTTGATGAAGCACAGTTATTGCTAGTCACTACTTTAAGTCTTTTCCTACCTAGCATCTTATTTAGGTATTTAGATGTCATTAAAAATTATGCATATTACAAAAAGGATTATATTTTCTTGTCACCTCTGTAAGCACTCAAAATTTTTGTCTCACCTCCTCCCTAAGAAAACCAACTTAATGAGCCTCAAAACATATTATAATGAATGGGAAAATATTTTTAGCATTTTATGCAGAAAATACCTCATTAGAAGCAAATGCTTTGGCAAGTAGAGTTAAGCTTAGTAAGAACTTGCGTGGAGTAGGGACTTTTATGACAAATCACTAGCATGTGTAAGCATGCTGTCTGATGAATCAGAGAATCATAACCCCCATTTCTTATTCTTGGGCTGCACCACAGCAATGTGGTGAGTTCAGTATGGTGCCCAGTATGTACTCAACTGAAGGGCACAGTGCCTACTAGCTGGCTGAAAACAAGAAAAATACCTTTAGATCATCTAGTCTCACTCAAGGTCTTATCTGGATATGTTATAGCATGCAAGTTCATTTAGATGAAGTATGTTTCCCTTTGAATGTTTGGCATCACGGAACCTGGACATTTTGCACAATTTTGCATATTACCCAGTCCATATTGGTGTAGGCTTTAGAGTCAGGCATTTAATTTCAAACAGAATCCTCAATTCGTACACTTAGTGCTGTAACTTAATTAGACTTTGGGCCTCAACCCCGAATAAGAGAGTACGAGTGCTGGCAGCTTGAAGACAATCTGGACGGGCTTGGTCACAAAACCATGGTTCCTGACTTCAATGATACAAGTACACAGAAGCAAATGCTTGCTTATCCCCACTGAGGACCCGGAAGGCACATGTGAGATGAAGTGTTTGCAGCAGCTGCCAATTGAGTTTGCAGGTGTTTCCACTCAGGCTCAGCTTCATCATCTGTGGTCCACACTTGAGAGCTTGGCCTGAGCTACAGCCACATCCACCCAGATTAGGCTGAAACTACCTGCAGTGATGATGTCAGTGAGGTAATAGGTTACCCTAGGGAAGTGGCCTCTTGCATCCAATGGGAAAGTGGGAACTTATGATTGATTCTAGTGGGAAATTTTTACATCACATAAGATCTTTTCCAGCTTCTCCCGTGGAGTCAGACTAGTGATAATGGTAGTAGCAATGGTGCTTAACATTTATAGATAACTTAGTCTGTGTCAGTCGGTCCCTGTGCAAAGCTCTATACATCTTCAAGCCCTATTAAGCTAAATAAAAAATATCCCCTTATTACAAAGGTAGAAACTGAGAGAAAAGAAATGACTCAATCCTAAACTCTAACATATAAGCAGAGTTGGGATTGGAAGTAAAATTGTCTTCTGATTTCAGAGTCCTTAAATATTATTGGTTTACTGCATTACATAACCAGCAAAAGTGTGTGTGTGTGTGTGTGTGTGTGTGTGCGTGTGTGTACTCCAAAAAGGACTGGAAGGAGTTCCTATATGCCTATGATCTGCCTTCTCAGCCAGCCCAGCTTCCCTCAATGAGCAGAGAGGAACTCAATGCTCAAGAAGAGCAAATACAGACCAGCCAGTAGCCACCATGCTTACCGTTAGGAAGTGACGGTCCTTGGCCTCACGCCTCCTCTGGCTGTGAGCTGGAGGGTAGGCTGGCAGTGGTGGAGCAGCTATGGAGAGAGCAGCAGCAGCTCTTTGCTCCCGTCGATCACTTCGGCTCCGGTGTTCTGAGGGCGCAGAATAGACAAACATAATGAAACATACTTGATACTGTCAATTGTTCTTCCCCTTGTGAATGTTAACAAAGAGCTGCAAAAAGGGAGCTTTCATTAATCTAGTTAATCTATATACTGTATCAGATTTTTTTTAATGGTTCCTAACTGAATCTTCACTTGTTGTGGATACGAGGGCAGATACACCCATCCCCATGGGTCCATCTTATACTTTTGGTACAAGACAGCTTATTTATCGGTTCAACACACCTCATTTCAAAATATCACAAGTGGAAAAAAAAAGAAAGGTTGAGAACGATGGTGGAAGGCTTGCTGCCATGAAGATTAGAGTGCAGAGAAGATGCAGACCTACCACAGCTTCTGGGCCTAGGTGCCACTAGTTCTAGGAAGGAACTGTATGGAATCAGGACATTGTTATGAGCCAGTTTTCAATGATAGATACCTGGAAATAGGCTATGGTGGCTGTATTTATAGCACAGAAATTGACAAACGTTATGCACTGGGTATTTTATCTTTTATATTTCCCCCCAGAAAACTGTTTAACCAGCACACCAATGCAGCCATCTGCATCCTATTCTTGCTACCCACAAAAACTCAGATGGTTTTGCAATCTTGTGCTCCCAGAGAAAGCAAGGCAATCCCAGAGACAGCATTTTTCTTATTTCAGGATATAACTGCCTTTGTGGAAAAGCTAAGAAATATCTGTGAGTGGAAGGGGGTGGGGGTGAGGGTAAAGTAGTCATGACTTCTTAATAAGAATCACTGAGATAAGGTCCTGAGCTGGATCCTCAGCACCACAAAAATTAATTAATTAATATTTCAGAGAAACCAAAATACAATTTAGGTTTCCAGTATTTTGTATACCTTAGAACATCTCTTGCTTACACTAAAAGCTGTTTACCTCCAAAAATATAGCTTACAATCATCCCCAGAGCTTGAAGTTTCTAAAGGCCTCATCATGATTGAGGTACAAATTTGTGTATCCCATTTTTCATTTTGTCTTTGCATTGTTTAACATTAGTATCATTCATCCCATGTACAATACTATTCAGAATTCCCAATGTTTATTGATATGTACCAGAAATGCTTTGCTAAAACTTTCAACTGAACAAACCCACACAAATGGGCATTAATGCTGTCCCCTCATCTGCAGATGTAGAAACAGATTCAGGAAGAAAGGGTCACTGTGCAGTGATCAGTGGTACAGACATAGTTCTTGTGTCTTTAACCTTGATATGGCTTGTCCCACAGGCCTTGTAAAGGACAAATATACATCACTTGTTGGAGTAAGACATTTGAGGTTTTTCAATATTTAAATATAATTATTTTTGCTGCAACTGAATTCTTTGAACAGTTACAACACTATGACTTATAAGGTAACATTTACCTCTTTTTGCCTGTGACTGACACAAAGCAAACTAAGCTGACCCTTTCAGGTGATGTCAGATATCTTTTCTCCTAAGGCTGTATCATCCCCATTTGTATGATTGTACTGTTAAAAAAATAGCATCTTGCTCTTGTCAGCCTTTTGAACTATATTTAAGTGGACCATGGAGCAGTTATGTGTGTGGGGGTAGTATATGATATATGCTGCACAGATTAGACAAGTGTACTAATAGTATGCTATATTCCTAGCCCTTTGAGTTTCTTTTCTTGAGACAAGGTCTCACTAAATTGTCCAGGCAGGCCTTTAAACTTGGTAGTCCTCTTGCCTGGCTTCCTGAATTGCTTGACTTACTGGTCTGTGCCACAAGTCCAAGTTCAGAAACAAAACTAGATTCATCTTTTGATCAGAAGACCTACAGCACCTGTGAAATGGACTTTCATAAATGCTTGTTGAAGAACTGGACAACTTAATGCTTTACTGAAGTCTAGGTTTTTGAAAAAAAACATACACTATATTCAATATTTATGATGAGCTGTGTTGTTGGTACAATTAATGATCCATGCTTCTCTACATCTTATTACTTGTCTTAACTGGTCTCCTTAAGGTTGGTCCCATCTTTGCTTTATTCAATGTTTTGCTACAGAAACTAGGAATTGAGCTCTCTCAAGCTCTCTGATTTCCACCAGTGAGTTGACTGCCTTTGGTCCTCATTCCCTAAACTCTTTCTTAGAGCCATAGGCTTAGTACATAGGTTAGGAAAAATGACAGTATTCCTCATCTTTCTTTCTTTGAGATTCTTCAAAAAAATGGTTTCCATTCACCACCAGAGAAAGGTCCTCAAAAACCCAACACATGGGTAGTCTTTGCTACACAGCCTCCAAAGTCAATGTTTATCAGCAGAAATTTTGAGATAGATGCCTTTCTTGGTAAAGTTTCCACCTCTAGTGTCACCCTCATTATTCTCTGCAAGTGAACAGTGGGCTTTTTCTCACAGACAGTACAGGGAAATCTTATACATTCTTAAACTCCAGCGTTACTGGTTAGGAAGAACGGGAGGGGAGCAGAGTGAGAAGGGAGGTAACCACTCAATATCCCTTTCAACTACTCCTCTCTCATACTATCTTAAATACATCTTCTCCTCTACTCAGGCCAAGAGTAGGCAGCCTAAATTAATGGCTCACTAATGATACTTCTCACCACTGGTGAGGTAGAGACAATATCAGTCCACCAGGGCCTACAACTGCAGTCAAATTTTCATTCTTACTCCTTTAGACCAAAGAAACTTAGACACCAGCCAGAAACTTGAAAGGAAAGGAAATATAAAATATAATTATCTCTTTATAGCCACGTATTAGTCTCTCTGTGTGTTTTATGAACATAAAAGATGGCATAACTTAAAGTTATTACTGGCGCTGAGCATTAAAGAATTGCTAAGAAAAAGAGAAAGCAATAATTGCATTCTAAACAATTTGAGATCCATTTAGATGCCACTTCCTCGAGGCTCCATAGCATGATAGGTACATTTCTGCTCAGTCCCCATAGCACTGGATTGAACTTAACTGCTTACTTCTTCATCCTCCTCACTACATCAGGAATTCTTTGAAAGCAGAGACCACACTTGATTGTGCTTTCAATCCTATCATCTAGCATAATACTGCCTAGTCTTCAGTACAGTTTGTTCAAGGTAGGGGGATGATAATAAGGAATTCAATTTCAAGTTTAATCTCAGTTCCCAAACGAGCACAAATCTGCAGCTGCCCAGTCTTACTTGCCCATGCTTCATCATCCTCTGTCTCCCCATACAGCAAGGCAACTCCAGCTGTCCAAATAGAGACTCCCCACAGGGAAGCTCACTGCCACATTTAGGGAGCCAAGCCCTTGTCTGCAAGTTTGGTATTAGTCCCCACCACCAGATGGCAGAGGTGGATTATGCTGATGGATACACAGTTACATTACTGTTTCTTAGGCAAGGTTTTTATTTTATATTTATTTATTTTTTAAAGTCGCTTTCTAATTTTAATTCTACACCACTGCATGTTTTTAATTCTATGATGCCTATAATTCCTGTTTATGGCTCTCTGCAGTGCTATTAAAACTACTACACCCAAGATTTGCTATTGAGCCAACCACAAAACAAGGCAGTCTGAACAGGGCAAAACAGGCTCCATAGTCTTCCATCTGAACCCCAGAAGGCCTTATATCCATCTCTCATCCCCCCAGGAGGAACTGCAGAGAAAATTGATATTGGTACTTGCTGTTCTTCAGTTCTGTCATTAAGTCCAAACCTGATGAAGCAGTGAAATATGACAGCTTATGAGCAGCTCAGTGTTATCTGGTTAAATCTGTAACAATCTAATCAGGGAGGACTGATTAATAATAATAAAGTGATAAAAAAAGGAATGATGTCTACAGGGCTAATGTTACTCAAGCTCTCTAACGATGGGATCTGAGAAAGCATTTAGTGAGAATGTTAAAATTCCTCAGTAGTCATCTTGTGCTTTCAATGCTCAATCAGATTTCTGCAGAATTTCATTCCCTTCCACACATCCATTGAGGACCTACCATATGCTGGACTTGTGCTACGTGCTTTGACTAGAATAAGTTAATAAGACACCATCCTTACCCTTGAGTTGCTATTGGATGAACAGTGGAAGGCGGGCAGGACCATAGTGGTCAGTTACGACAGATGGTTACGTGTGCATGTTGGGAGGATGCATAGGGTATTATGGGAAATGTGCCTAGGAATAGAATAGTATAGAGGAAGACTTCCAGAAGGAGGCTTGCACTAAAAATTTATTAAAGGATTTTTGTTTACCCAACCATAAAGCTGAAATGAACAGTAAGTGTCCTTTCTCTATTATAAATATCACAGCATCTCACTACTAATAACTTGAACAAAAACTTTTGAACAACTGCTTTGGGGACAGTTGTAGGTCAGTTGTTTCATTAAAAGGAGAAAAGGAAGAAGTCATACAGATGTGGATGAAAACAATACTTATTAGGGTTGTCTGTGTCTTGAAAAAAAGCTTTAAAATATTTTATTTGCATTATAATGTTTTTGTAAACTAGCAATCCTTAAATAAGTGTAGGGATATTGAAACAAATACAATGAATGTGTAGACAGCATCTGTCTCTATAACAAAAACCTAAAGGCCAGAAAATGGGGCATACCATCTTCTGATATCCATTTGGGGGACTTTTAAAGGATAATGAGCATTTTGAGTCCTCATTCTCATAGGTTTTAAGGCACTGGGAAGTAAGAAAAGGTTCATTTTCTACCTGGGCTGTTACATGCCTGTCTTTGGTGCTCTCAATGCTGTGACAGAAGAGCAAATATGAATATCTATTTTCACAAGACACAGTATATGGCAAAGTAGGAAAGAGTTCTGGCTGGGGGATCAGAGGTTCAGGGCGAGGTATTGGCCCTGAAGCTAGCCTGCACGACTCTGCACAAGATTTCACACATTTCAAGTCTCCATGCACCTCCCCATAGATTGAGGGCATTGGATCAGCTCAGAGATTCTCAACAGAAACACAAGAGCACTTGAGGGCCTTACTATGATTGTTAGAATGATTGGGCAGGAGCCAAGCATAGCAGCCATCCTGTAATGTGCTGATGGTCAATGAAAAGGTTCCATGTCCCATACAACATTTAAATACTTTATCCAAATCTCCTACAGAAAGAAGCCAGGAACCTATTTCTGAATCAAACCTAATTCCCTTTTCATTATAAGCCAAAGTCTTACTTTGCCCATATCTAATAGGTGCTGAATATACCAATTTTCATGGCTTTTCTCCTGCCCCTGCCTCCAGTGCTCCTTCATTTCTCCACACTTTTTGTTTGGAATGGCTTCTATCTTTACTTAATTCAAATTTATTTTTGAGAGGTACAGACATCTAACTGCTTTCATTATGTCATCTAATACAATTGTGAATTGGCACTTGCATAATGAGATACAGTTATTAATACTTTTCCCTTTTGAATTCTCTTTGTGATCATATTTAGGCCATAATGGTAATTTCAATACACATATACATGTAACTGATATTACACACGGATTTCATACAGGGTAGAAATGGGAGCATTTCAAAGTGCTTGCTTTAACTAAGGAGGTGACAGGACTGACGGGACAGAAAAACCCTAGATGATCCCAGGCTGGATCAGTTACCTCTGCGCAGGGCTTGCAGACTCTGTCTGGCATGGCGGTGCAGCTCCTCCACACAGGGTGGCCTGGTGGATGGGAGGAAGATGTTTCGCTGTTGGTGCCATGGTGCACGGTAGTATACACTCAACTTACTCTCAATGTCCAAGTTGGAGACGGCTGCAAGACAAAGATCAAATAGGGCATTATGCATCAGGAGCTCTAACTGTGCATTTAGTGGGCTCTGGGGTGGTGTGCAGGTGACAGGGAGATGGGAAGGCATGTAGAGGTGAAGTCCAGATTGATTGATCTCACCAAAAAACCTAACTCAAGGCTGAAAAAACTTTGAAGTTGATAATACATATGGAGACAACTATGCCCTAGGACCAAGAGATGGGAGACCACGGGATACTTCTGCATATTGTTCCTGCTATCTACCTAAACTTTGGTCTGTATTTTATGTTGTCCCTTGTGGCTTCTGGCTAAATTTTCCTGATCCTGCCCTCCACCTCTTGACTCCATTGATTGCCATTTTCCCGTGGTTTCACCAAAGGTTAGCCTAAGCATAAGCACAAGTATGATAGTGGGTATGGGGGGAGGGGCATCTGTAGATAACATGGTCCTTACGACTCATATGAGAAATCAAGGAAGACTTTCTTTCTCCTAAACACAGCATTCACTTCACTATTGTCTCCTTCATTACAGCCCAGGACAAAACCAACTCCTTATGAGTAGAGGATGCATACTTATAGAAAAACCTTCTGGGAACTAGGGGACTGTGATTGAGAAATAGGAACCCAGAGAAACTCATGAGCACTTGGTGGCCTATTAGCCTCAAGACTGCTAAGATCAGGTACAGTTGGCTTCATCCTTCAGACCCGTGATTCAGAGCCAGACTCCTGGCCCAGGAGCATCCTGCTTTTCTCAGTCTCTGATTCCTTCCTGCTTTGGTTCATTTCCCCAGTGCATGGTTTGGAGACACTCTGCTTCACTGTTTATCCCTAGGCCCCAGACAGGCTTTGGTTCCACTCTGAGCCTTCTCGTTTAGAAGAATGATCTACCATTTCACTTTGAGAAGTCTAGCCTGGAACAAGATAATCTATAGAAAATGTAGAAAGGAAAATGAATACATTGTAGAAAGGGAATACAAGAATGAAAACTGGGGAAAATACAGCCTTTTGATGATTAAATTTCCTCTCTCTCACCATGAACTGCAGTTATTTTTGTTTTTTCTCCTACAGTATTTAATAGCACTCTTTAGTCTAGAATAAAGTATTCATTACTACAAGAATCACTAACGGAGGGCTAAGGATGTAGTTCAATGGCAGAACACTTGCCTAGCTCATGTGAGACTCTGGGTTTGATTCTTAGCACTATAAAAATAGAAACAAACACACATCAAATGATGTATTGAAACACATGCAGAATCAAGAGGAATATATCATGTCTCTAAATTATCTAATACAATGTTCCATGCTGAGAAAATTCTCTATAGCTTCACTATACAATATAGTATCCCCTTTGCCCTTGGACTAAGAAATGGGACACCACAGTGGCTATTGAGCACTTCAAAATGGATTAGCTAGTGAGTGAGGAACTAAATTTTTTAACTTTTATTATTAATTAAAATAGCAATGTATGACTAACATCTAGCAATATAGTTCTAGGGTGACCATAAGTAGTATCATATTTTCTCACCTTTAGCCACAGAGATGTGGCTAAATATGTCTCTTTATTCTTCCTAGATGCTTAATCTTTAAGAATTTGAATCAGAAGACTATTTCCCTGGGTAGAGGCAGCACTCTTTTGGAGGGAAGAAGAGGGTCAATGGAACCAGGAATGAAAGGAGGTCATTTTTCTTTCTCAAGCTATTCTATAGCCTCAACTTTCTCCTTAGGAACTGTGGGTGCTTAGTGAACCAGTCAGGGGTCACTGAAGCCTGTAGGCAAGAACAGGAGGATTCACAAAGGGACAAGCTGATCCTTTCAGGCCTGAGAGAATGTGTGGGCAGCCTTGGTATAGAAGGGGAGGGGCAAGTCTAGATCAGGGTGCTTCTCTCCAGTGAATGGGGCGGAGCTCTGAAGACAGAAGTCTCATTCAGTTACCCTCCGAGGAACACTCTGGTGCGGTGACAGGATTGGCTGGAAAATCATCCTGTCTCTGGACATAGAGGTCAACTCCTGCTCAACAGGCTGAGGTCATTGCTAAACTCAACAAAGGTAGCTGTGAACTCGTGTGCTGGTGACAGATGGAAGAAGGGACAGAACAGAAAGTCTGATTGTGGAATAAAAAAGGAACAAGAAACTCAATGGGCAAATCCAGAAGTGTGTGTACAGGTGTGGGTACCCCTCCCATCAGGCTTGTCTCTTCAGGGAGGTTAGAGTCATAATTTGGGGCTGGGCCCAGGTGAGTGGAGATAGGTCAGAAGACTTAATCCTCCTCATACTGTCTGTGCTGTTGACTAGACCTTGGCAGCCTCTCAGAATAAAAGGTCAAGTGCCCATGGCTTTTCATTTTTTGGTCCTGCTATCTGCCTTAGTGTTGGCTTGAGGAAAAGACTCATCAGATGTGTTTGAAAAAAAAAAAAACTGAAGATCACTGAGCCCTTGAACCAGGGTGTTTCCAACACCGGGTTGATAACCTGCACATATTAAGAATGTTCCAAAGTTGTTGATTTATCATCAGGAAAGTTTGAGAAATGCAAAATGTTTTCTGATGATGTCTTGAGATCTTGGAGGAGTAAGATGGATTGGGTGACATGGGTGAACAGAGGAGAATGCTGACATTGGAAATACCTATCCACCCAGGAACATTATATAACAGTAATGTCAAGCACAGTCCTAGACAGAGCATCACACACAGAAATCCCTATCGTCTTGAGGCATATGTTTTGTAGTTTTGTATGAAAATGTTGACATGATTCTTCCTGAAAGCAACAGATTAAGAAAAATGCTGTCTGGCACATACTTCCTGCTGCTCTATGATACAATCTCCCAGGAATGACCTAAAAACATCAGATTCTAGAGGCCCTACATAGCTCCAAAAATACAGTTCCCACATTTCTGTAGTAAGGAACTATAATTTCTGAAAATATCACATAACATAAAATAAAAAAGAAATTCAGCAATTTTCCCATTACTAAATATAAATTTCACATTATTTGAAAGGAAGTATTGTTATTTTATTTATTTAACAAAGTATTGTTACTTTGCTGGTGCCCTAAACTCATTCATTCTATGGTCAGTAGACAAGCCAGTCCTGAGGTTTTTGACTGCTAAACTGCCTGATACTAAGAACAGATCAAATGCAAAGATTAATTTCTGAATTCCAGTGTAGGTACCCTCATCTTGCTTCCTCAAAGGAACCGACCCTCCTGCATAATGGCTGCTTTTCCAGCCCTTGGGATCCACACTTCCCTATCCTTCCTCTTCTGAGAAGCTAGAATGGGTTTGTTCCATGCATTAGCAGGTGATAATGTCACTTACTTGTTGCCACAGTGATATCTATCACTGCTCAGCTATGTCCTTTAGTCACGGAGTATTAAGTGTGTGGTGCATCCACTGGAGGCAGAAAGAGGCACTAATGGAACACTCAATGAAGCCATCCCATTTTCCTAATAAAAAACAGTCATTTCTGGGCTTGAGGAAAATGGCTCAGTTGGTAAAGCCAGCATGAGGATCTGAGTTGAGATCCCCAGCTTGCATGTAATAAGCCAGCACAACAATATGTGTCTGTAGTCCCAGCACTGAGGGAACAGTGAAGTAGGATCCCCAGACTTTGCTGGCCAGCCTATATAACCATATCAGTGAGCTCCAGATTCAGTTGGAAAATGATAGAAATTGACACATGATGTTATGAAATATTATTTTAAGATATGTTACATTTTTTATGCTATGGGATATTAGTTTAATATATAAAGATGTGCTGCATTCTTTTTTGTTGCATTTGTTTAACTCTGTAAAGCTGTGTTACTTTGCCTGTCTAAAACACTTGATGGTCTAATAAAGAGCTGAATGGCCAATAGTGAGGCAGGAGAAAGGATAGGTGGGGCTGGCAGGCAGAGAGAATAAATAGAAGGAGAACTGTAGGAAGAAAGATCAAGGAGAGAGAAAAGAATGGGCCAACCACCCAGCCACAGAGCCAAACATGGAATAAGAAGGAAAGAAGAGATATACAGAAATAGGGAAAGGTCAAAGCTTAGAGGCAAAAGATAGATGGGATAATTTAAGTTAAGGAAAGCTGGCAAGAAACAAGACAACCTAAGGCCAGGCATTCATAAGTAAGAATAAACCTCTGTGTGTATTTATTTGGGAGCTGGGTGTCAGGCCCCCAAAAGAGACAAAGAGTAAAACAACCAACTGCAACCTGACATTGACCTCCAAATGCACATACACATATATGTACACCCATGTACACATCAACATATAAATATGCACACACATACACCAAGTAATTTCTTTTGCTAAGTAATGGTTAAACTAAAACTGAATTAATTTGTTCATAATGTTGCTATACCACTGCCAGTACAAAGCTGCCCCCACCTTCAGATTTACCCTACCCTATTTTCTTCCATTTCTAGCAATTTCATCATGGCTGAATCATGAATGACAACAAGTTTAGTTACCTCTGTAATATATATTCTCACAGCAATAAAAAGGGAAGTAAGCTGGGCTTACTATTTTATCTGAATACAACTAGGGGCCCCCTCTATCAAATAGAGTCCCAGGATGTCCCTCAAGATTCCTGAACTCTCAATATATAACCCATGTAATCCTCTTGAGTGTGGGAAGAACCTATGATTTACGCTACGTCAGTTTACAAAAGGAATTTATATTTTTGACTTTGAGTTTATCAACAGGGAAAATGTTCTATTGAGTGGGTCATGGTCTCATAATGTGGGTCCTTAAGAGATGAGAAGTAACAGAGGCATTCGCCTATGTCCTTGAAGAAGCAAATTGCCACATTGTGGAGAAAGCCTGATGATGGAAAATGATGAGCCACCTATAGATACTGAGAACCCCAGTCCCATATCCTCAAAAAGCTGATTTGTGCCAAGAACTTATAGGCTTGAAAGAGAAACCTTAGGTCTCAGATGGCAGCACAGCCCTAGGTGACACCTTGATTTTTAGCCTAGTGGGACTCTGAGCCAAGGACACAGATTCAGAGTCTCGATTCACAAT